TTACGAATTAAGACTTTAAAAACAATTTGAATTAACGGAATCGTGTATCGACAAATATGCTTCGCATAAACTGGATTTCGCTCTGAAAAATAATAAATTAATATAAGATTATATATAATACTTGAGTAAATTCTATTGATTACAAAAAGACTTATCAAAATCGGTTCAAATTTGCCGAAAATATCGCGTTGCGTATACAGAAAAAATACAGGCAAATTAAAAATCTCTTCTAAAAAATGAACTTTAATATTGTCGGAATAATTAAATAACAAATAATTTCAAAATATAAGAACGAATATAAAAGCAAATTCAGAGAAATGGATAATTTAAGAAGCTTCCACTTTCTGAAGTAACTTGAAAAATCTAATGACAAATATCTATAATGAGCGCTACATAAAGTGGTTACTCATAGCCGGTAAACGTATTTTCGTAACTAATTTGTGTCTGAAATAGCAGCCCCGGGTAGTAAGTTGTGAGAAATTATTTTTGGTGAAGTTACTGCCCGTAGTGTGTTACACTACGCCATAGATCATATGCATCTAGATGGAGTGTCGTATGTGTTTCTACCGTGAAGCAGTTGTGTTTGCATGGCTGTGTTTCGGTTTGAAGGGTGGGATATGGCGTGAATTTACAGGGTACAGAAGAATAACAACTAAGTCCTCAGGAATGGCAACGCATGGGGAGTATCATGGGCTAAAGAGTATACTCTGTTATGTCCATGGTACTGCTCATGTCTGTAGACGACGGTTACCACTTTCCATCAGGTGTGCCGTCAGCTTGTTTGCGTTCGAAAAAACGCGATTTGATCAAGTGATTTTTTCAATATCTTTTTATCAGAAGTACTAAATTCATTACGATTGAACACTTCTGACAATTTTTTTTTCAATATTTTTAATATTATTCTTATACCTGTTACCCATACCATATTAGCCGTTAACAGTCCACTGTTGAATAGAGGCCTCTCACATAAGCGAGGCTTTGCCAGTAGTTCCCATGCTTGGTAGGCGATTTAGCAATCGCAGTCAGGCCCTGGTGATATACTAAGAGAGACGCTGCTGTCCCACCCTCGAACATTAACTTCCCTTAGTTGCTTCTTACGACACCCATGGGAAAAAAGAGGTGGTCCGTACTATGCCGGGAACACACGGCAAAATTTGTTAAGATATAGTACCCATAACCTCCCCCATAGTTTAGGGGGGAAAGGGATTGTTAGTAATAGAGACTGAGAATCCCATTGCTAGCAATATACCCGACCAGGTCAACCTCCTCGCGGTTCTCCCTGGAAACTATTATGGTTAATTCCTGATGAATTCATCATGATGGGCTAACTAGCCTGTTTTCATTCTCATCTATCACCCTTCACTGGTCCTCTGTCAGCGTATCCCGTTAGCGTAGGCGGGGTTACCATACCATTTTCACCCATCAAAAAAAAACCTCCCCCATAGATAGTCGGTTAAAAACAGATCTATAATTGAACTAAGAAATGGAAAATGAAAAAAACTTATGACCATAAACAAAATAGATTTAGGAGATCGTTATAAGATACGAGTACTGTTCTTTACCTGAGACATTCGATACTGTTACTCCTGAGAGGTGACCTTTCTAAAGCCACCTTCAGTATACACAAAGGCCTCTGACGTAACTTTCCACACAATAGCATTGCATGCCCTTCAAAGCACGAAACAAGTTAGTTAGAAAATGTTTAAGCTGGGGATCGATTTTAGGATCTCCATATTGTAATAATAATAATAATTCTTTATTTGGAACAAAAACATTGGTTACAATATTATTGAAAAACGATGATATCCGCAGAAGTATAAAACTGTGTCGCGAATATCAACGCCCTCCTCCTCATTACAGGATTCCAAAACAGACATTTAAAACGTATGGTAGCTAGTTACATCAACGAAGACATTTTGTCATATCCAGCAACCAACTACAATACTAATAAACTACAATAATTTAAAATATTAATAATTTAAATACAGTAGCCACCATACCTGTTAACTTAAAAAAAGTGCGTGTGCGTAAATGTGTGTGTGTGTGTGTGTGTGTGTGTGTGTGTGTGTGTATGTGTGAATGTGTATGAGTTTGTGTATCTATGCAGGTGTGAAAAAAGTTATAAATTTATTCGTAATCATTATTAGTTACGTTATTAGTAATCAAGCGATGTCCAACTGAGCTCTTACCTCACATATGATATCCAAGGTTTATTGATTAAAATTTATTAATGGATGATAATGGAATGGTAATCTCGCCTGCGCTAACGGTATACGCTGGCGGAGCACTAGCGAGAATAATATTCGCAAGTAAGAATGAAAAGGCCCATCGTAATACACTTGGAATTCTGCATGATGGATTCTAGGGGGACCACGAGGAGGTCGACCTGATAGGGTGGGTATATTGTTAGTAATAAACCCCATCTCTCCTATTGATTACATTACCAGCAATAATCTACCTAAAGTACCAAACAATGGAAGTATTTTTTAAGTCTAAATTTTAACGTATTCACCGGTCTATCGGGGCCAAATGAGCTGGAGCCAGCAGATACGGCCAAGACTAATTTTCAATTAAAACTTCATCAAACTTAAGCTACCGGCAAAGTTGCAAGTTTTGGTGCAAGTTACTACCTCTCGTCCATTGTACTTTAAGGAAGATAAAATATTTAAGGATTAAAAAGAAAGAAGAAAAAGACAGATCAATATACATGTAATAATAATAGTAATGGCGTAAATTTACTGGGTACAGAGGAATAACACCTGAGTCCTCAGGAATGGCAACGCATGGGAGGTATCATGGGCGAAACAGTATACTCTGTTATGTTAAGTACTATTCATATCAATAGGCGACGGTTACCACTTTCCATCAGGTGGGCCGTCAGCTTGTTTGCCAATCTAAGTAGTATAAAAAAAAAAAAAAAAAAATGTAGATGGAGTGCCGTTTCAAAAAACGCCCCATTATCAATTTTATGAAAACTTGGCTGACGCATTAGTTTTTATATCGTACGAAATACGTACAAAATATATACGAAGTGATATAATATTGTTAATAATAATATTTATAATCTCCCATATTAATATAACACAAAGCAAATAATTAGAACAAGTAAGTATGAAACTACAGTGTTGAATAAATGAATAAATAATTAGAATAAATATAAACAAATAAAAGTTTACAGATTACAAGATTGTAATTGTAATTATTTATGTCGGCGTTACTCACTTTTTAATTATTCATCAATTACAACATTCACAAAATTATATAACGCGCGAAAAGCGCGCCAATTTTTAAAGAAGCAAATTCAATATGGCCGCTATATATAGTTACATTTCTAATCCGCTCAGAGAAAATACAAACTTTCCTTTTACTAAAAATACTTTTTTATTAATTTTTTAATTTTATAAATTCATACTTCATATTTGATTAAAAGTCTGTAACTTGCACCACAATATAGATAACCATCTTTGCCAGCAAACTAAATCGCAGGTAACTGCGGCTTCTGGCTTCTGTTTATCTACGTAATAAATAATGAGTATGTACTAACTAACCAAGTATGGCCGCCATGGAATTACCAGATCGATCACATGAAGTGACTGATAATAAATTAATTGATATTTTACAGACTATTATAGGAAATTAACTAGACTGTCCTTCTTATTTTTTATAACAACAAAAATCGCACAAAACGTTCGCGAACGATTGCTAATTGTCAGAAGATGGCATTATGCCATGCACGACTTCTTCCTAATCGCTGAATTAGTTTAATACACATCTATGCGTTAAACAGCATCATTGTTATTTAGTGGCAGCAAAAATGGTAGTTTTAATTCCTAAATCGTTCGTAAGAGGCAGTGCAATCGTTCGCTCGTTAAATGCTTATGGGTAATACAAAATAATGTAAATAATGTCGATTGTTGCAAATGTTCGCTTTTATAAAGATTCACCTCCCTCATTTAGATAGATACTTTTTCTTTCCTCCAAAAGATTACAATAGTAAACTTATTATAAATATAAACAATTACAAGAAATAATCACAATGAGAAAACAATGGAAGACCTTATCGCTAAAAGCGATCTCTTCACCTCTCTCATTTAGTATAGTGCCTGTAGTCCTAAGCTTCCTGCATCCAGTACTACTTTTGTAACGAATCAGGTATCTATAATATTAATTCATGTTTTTTTTTTCAATTCATATGCTGTCACCCGATAGAATCCTTTTATTTTACGCCTACCCTCAACTGGTAATCCAATATTTAATACTTATCTGCATCCTTTCTAAAACCATTTATATTTTAAGATTTCATGCAACACGTGCAACTGACAGATCGGACTAGCCAGATTGTAATGCGTCACTTTCATTTCATCTGTGCTAGAAAGGGATAATCGATTGGCTATCATCAACAGGAGGGTTCATGTCGACGCATGTGACGTCACAAGTGGACCGTGCCTACGAAATTGGATTTTTATCCGATCCCGCGATAAAGCACGTTGCCATCATCTGGGAAAGCTGTGTGGATTTTTTCTTATATAGATAAATATAAGTTAAACTGAACTCTGAATTGATTTATTTTTTTCTTAAATAATAAATATTTTTCTATGTATACTATAAGGTAAAAAAGTTTTATTTTAATTGACTGTCGTAATAAAGTTGACGACCCATCGAAAAAGAAGAGAAACAAATGGGCATCGCAAAAATTGTGTTGCTCATTACTTCTCTCATTCCAGAACATTATGTAATTGCTTTATTATAAATTTAAGCTTTGTGATATGCGGAGCGAGAAGCGGAACGACTAACCCTAACGTATCACGACAAATACGACGGAATGTCATCTACACCACGTCAATTATTCTTTATATGATTTTCGTGTACTTTGTTTTTATACGCCAGAGTCGTGGTGGAGCAGTTAATATCTCTGTACAGAGACTACTAACTAACTTACCCTTCGTTGATTCCATGCTTTTTTGACGTCTATTATATTTTCTCTCACAATTTGTCCGCAGCGCGAGGGTGCGGCGCGCAGCGATGCGGAGCGTGAGCGGCGCGCGCGCGGTGACTGGGAGGCGCGTGCGCGCGCAGCTGAGGCCGACGCGGCGCGGCTTGCCGGGAAGCTGCACGCGGCACAACGAGAAATCGCCAGGTAAGATTCATTCGTAGATTATAAATTCATTATTATGTTTTAGATATTGGACCTCTAATTAGACCTGAATGCTTGAGCTGGATAGTCATATCACAGCACCATTTAGACTGAAGTTAAGCGGAATTTGTACTATCGGTACTAGACAACCTTTCTTTTCTAGATTACCAAATCACTGCTGATGATCATAATCCATGGTATATTGTTTTGCATTGCTTGATGCCAAATTTTACCATCTTGTGCCAAATTCATGACATCTTTAATCGACACCTGTTAAAAATTATAAATGATGATATCTTTGTTGTTGCTACATAAGTTTTTGAAGTCGATAACGAAAACTTCAAAAAGAACAATTTATTTTAAAATTAAATTTAATAAAATATAACAATTTACAATTAAAATAATGACTAAGTACTCCTGATCGAGGTATTCAATACAGAATAATTAAGTAAAATATTAATAAGAAATAAGTGTTACCGTGGTTCGATGTTCGCGGAATCGATGCAGGTGGCATTCGCTTGCACCGTTTTCCTGAATCACCTGTTGGGCGGTCCGCTAATATGTCACAATGACATTGCAATTAGTTGACGGTTTCCAAATATTGTCTAATTTATAGCAGACTTAATGAATGATAAACAACTCGTGAATACAGTTTTTGTTTTGCGTGTGGATTAAACTCGCAGTCACAGAATGATAAGATGGCGTATTAAATCGCTATTCGCTACTCAATGTAGACTAACAACTTACCTTCACAACAAAGTTTTTCCTTTCAATATTTCAACACCATAGTTCCATCTTCGACCACATCGTCATTTCCTATCAGTTGAGATGATAGTTTTCAAGTACAAGGTTATGTAGTTTATTAATGTACCCCGATGTTACCCGGATGGAGTCAAAGTAAATCTAGTATCAAACATTTTGGCCGAATTGTATTATTATTTCAATGTATTGAGAGATCTTTAACTAGTGCGTGTTGCTATTTATGACTTATGGAATCGAAACATTGCCTACACGATTGCCCGTATGCAAAAGCTTCAAAAAGCTCAGCAGGCTATGGAAATGCTATGCTCGGAATCTCTTTGCGTGATAGAATCCGAAATGAGGATATCCGCAAAAGAACATAAACCAACATAGCCTGAAGGATCAGCAAGCTGTAGTGGCAGTGGGCTGGTCACATAGCTTGAACCCATAACCGATGGGGAAGAAAGATTCTTGAGGAGTGATCCTGTATGGGCAAACGTAGTACAGGACGACTCCCTCACCCACTAGATGGAGTGACGACCTCAAATGCATTGCAGGGAGTCAGTGTATGCAGGTGGCTCAGGACTGTTCTTTATGGCAGTCTATGGGGGAGGCTTATATCCAGCAGTGGACGGATAATGGCTGAAAATAATGATTGAGAGATCACAAGTACGTTTATAAAGGGCAGTATTTAAATTGATAGCAGCTGTTTTGGTTGTTAATCAAATTTCTCTTCCACGATCCTGTTATTGTACGTATTCATTTTGTTACGTATTTTGTTTTTCATTTTGTCATAATGAAAATTATTAATTATTATTGACTCAACGTATATTTAGCTTTATTGCTACGAGTACGGGCTGGCTGCCAAGTATCTTGTAGAATGTACAAATAATTAATTTTGATTACATGTTAAAAACCGCCGAACAATGGAACAGGTGTTTAGTATTATAGACTTCTGCAGTTCGATGGGTATCGTAATGAAAATTATTATTATTATTATATTTTATGTTGAGAAAGGAATCCACACATATGTTAATATATGTTAATATGGCAACTTTATTAGTCTATGTTGGATATACATAGAGCAATGCTCTCTAGTCTGGTCTGGTAATTGATACGGTGTCTGTAATACGTTTTGTAACTTTAAATAATAATAAAATTATATATAAGAGTTTAAACTATAAACATTAATTACTCTGCAAATTTTTTTTTATACCACTGAGGTGGCAAACAAGCATATGGCCCACCTGATGGTAAGTGGTTACCATAGCCTATGAACACCTGCAATACCAGAGGTTTTACGCGCGCGTTGCCGACCCTGAAGAAACCTCTTTACCCCCCTTTTGAAGAACCCCATGCTATAGTCTCTTGGGAAAACCTCGGCAGGGAGCTCGTTCCACAACCTGAGTGTTCGTGGGAGGAAACATCTCTGAAACCGCGCAGTACGCGACCATTGAGGCTGTAGGACATGAGGATGAACTCCCTGACGATGGCGAGCAGTACGATGGTAGAAAGTGGCTCCTAAATTACTTCAAAATATTTTTTTATTTCACCATCGGATTACCTATTTTGTTTATTTATATAGGTACTAGTTTATACCTGTGACTGTATTGATTGAACAAAATAAAAATTTAATAACTTTATGTTGAAACTATAAAGCGTCAAGAGGTAACAAAGAGACATACGCATTTTTATATTTATAAAGCTACATTAGTAAATATGTTATTTAAAAAAAAACAGCTCTTTAACTACACTTTAACTCGTGCACTTAGGTTTACTAGAATATTACTCTTTTAGTAAATTAAGTTAAAAGTATAACAAGGTAAAAAGATAAGAAAACCAGTTATTTTGATTTCAAAACCTACTAAACCGATTTTGATAAAATATTTATAGGGCCAAACTGTAAGTATATCCTTTAATAAAAAAATAGAGTAATAAACAAAAATAAATAGAACCAAATCAAGAATCTCCTTCTCTTTAAAGCCATTTGCAAATAGTGATACGAGGACAGAATAACAAAAGCAAATTTCTTAATTTGACAAGCTTTGACTATTATATAAATCTAACTAATAATTAGATAAACGTTTTCCACTAACTCATTAATAACTTGGGATGTAAATCACATAACGTCAACCCGTACAGATTCGAAATTTAATATTTGAAACGGAACAGAGATCCGCGGGTAGATAACAGAACGGTTACTCAGTTCGGTAATTAACGAACTTCGCGTTCCATTTTCGAATTTACGGCAGCGGTGTAATCGCTACGATGTCATTGGCCAGCGATAAGCGATCGTCCGATTGGCCGATGGGCCGTAACTTCGAATTTCGAACTCCACGGGATTTACGGTTCGAGGACCGTTATGGATTTGACCCAATTTGCCCGGGCCTCGATTGAAAATTGGATTTTTTCGCCTATTCGCACCGTCTATTTATTGGATGTAAGGTGCTTTATTGATATTAATCTCTCTTAAGTTGGGAAGGTTCTGAAGGATGATATGGGATGATGAGGATACTACGTACTTCTATTCCGTACGTGTTCTATAATCGAATGATTTTTAAGGTAAATGCTTAGTTTACTGTTTATCTACTTACCTAACTGTTCTCAGAAAGATATAATTAGATTGGCTTCCGACTAAAAATCTGGTATTAATAAATTTGTCTTTCCTAGATACAAAACTGCATCACACGTTTCTATACATTACGTAGTCCGTTATAACCCATAATCTAATGCGGTACTCTCCAAAATATTACTTTATTATTTCCGTCGAAATAGCTTACTCAGCACAATAATGGGGTACATTTAGCCGGCGAACCGTGAACATCCGAACGGATCCAGTGTCAATCACACACCGTTGTGAGAGCGGACGCATCTGGCTCGGCCTGGCATACAGCAGTTTTAGGGTTCCGTTTGAAATAAAAAGAAAAACACTATATTATGAGAAACATCGTAATTCTTTCGTTGGACATTGATGCTATATACTTAATATCCCATTTTGGTAATTCTCTTTGTAAAGCTTAGGATATATTCTCACCTTGATGCCTTATTCACTTTATTATAATTGGAAACGCTGTTTTGAAAAACTAATTCTTTGTTCGTGTATTTCTTTTTATAATATGAGTAATAATTAATTCTGGTGAGTTTTGTCTTCTTTCGCTAAATAATGTTAATAAATAACTTTTTTTTATAATATGTTCGCCACAACAGTATCAGTCGACTGTATCTGATTATCCTATAAATATTACACACTAGTTAATTTAATATTTTTTTATCACCATCATGTCTTCGGCCATTATCCGTCCACTGCTGGACATAGGCCTCTCCCATAGACTGCTATAAGAAACTGTACCACCTGCATCCACTGACTGCATTGCAGGGAATGCATTAAAGATCCTCTCTCCATCTAGTGGGGTGTCGTCCTACTAAATATTTTTTTTTTTAATTTCAATATTATTCAAATAGTTTATTTCGAATTGTATGTATTATTTACCAAAATCACGTAAGTGAAATGTTTTGAAATTATGCAAGTACTTATATAAGGAACCACAAATTTTAGAACGTTGCACGCTTAGCAATATTTTATGAAGTTTTTAGGCGGGCAAAGGAAAACCAAATCCAATTCGTCAAAATATTTCCGGGGGCGAGATAAACCGATTATTGCGGTCTAAAAAACACTGATACTGTTTACTGTTTTTGTTTTCGAAATTCTCACCGATGTTACGAGGGTCGAGTTTGTAATTTCGACTTTATCGGGAATAATTTAAGGATTTTTTTCCACTAATACTTATTGTCCTGTGAAATAGTCGTAATTGTTTAATTTGAACTTGGCTTGTTCTATTACAATTACAGGTATGTTTATTTCGAAGATTGTCACTTTATTTGACATAAATGTACATACATTATTTAAGAAGTCGATCAGTTTTTTTATGTCGATCATTTGTTATAATATACCAAACAAAATCATTATATATATTTAAAAAAAGGATGCTGATTAATTCACTGTATCACTGAATTTAGAATTTTATAATTTTGCAAATAGGATCTTTATATGTCGTAAAAGGAAAGATTTTTTTAAATTCAGATTCTAAGGAGATTAAATTTACAAAATGTACGCATATGAAATCGCGGGCAAAAGATAGTAAAATATAATAAGACTTGTATATTAAATGTAACATTAGCATGTAATCGTTCTAAAAGTAAACAAATTATATAAAAAATAAAAAATAACAATCGTCTATATCTTAGAGAAAATAATGTATTCA